GTTGCTCATTGTCATAAAATAACATTGTGCCAAGAGCTGTGCAAGATTAGAAGCAGATTAGACATTCATGTGGCTAACAAAACAATCACTGATAAACTAGCTAAGATGACAGCAGGGTTATAAATCTCTGTGCCTCAAGAAATAAACTTAAAGGTAAATTGAGGCTGGGTAGAAGCTTCTCGTACCGGCAGATTATGTCATAAGTAATTAGTCTAATTTCTGTGTCTTCTTCTGAAACATTTCTTCATTCTAAAAATTAGGTGCTGACCCTGGGGTACCATTTTTAACAGGCTGGGGAAGAGAATTTTCAAAGACATTTAGGCTAGCTCAGTGACGAAGTTGCACTGCGTGGGAATTTGTGCTGGCTTGGTACTTTTGACCTTCATCTTTAAGCACCAGAACACCTTAATGGCCCTTAGGAACTTCTGAAACCTCCTGCCAGATCTCTGCAAGAGAGCCAGGATTACTTCTGAGCCTGATGGTAGCCTTTCTTTTTTTTTCTAAATATCCAAATGGTTTGTTTTGCTTCTAGCAGGTCATAGCAATTTGCCTCCCTAAATACTAGAGCATTTGAAACATAAGAGTGAACTTTACAGCTTGGGATATTTTTGTGAAAGGTCAATATATCCTCTTTTTACAAAATAACATAAACTTCTTTCTCTCCTCTCTCCTTTCCATTAAGTCCTGGTCATGGTGTGCACAGTACTTCATTACATCTTTATGGCATTCAGAATTTGCAATTGTAGCATACATATCTTATTGCCAGTAGGTGAATGGGGGGCTTACTGCTGATAAACGCTAACAGTCATCTTACCATGGTAGTATACGAACCCACTCTGATGTTTTGCCTTGATGAAAGTGCCTGGCAGAGGCAGTGACTGAGTTTTATGTGTGTAATAATGCAGGTCCTAAAATATGGACCCTCAATCTTTGTTCAAAGAGATCTATGTCAATTTATCATTTAATTTGATCTGTTGCTTTTCATAGATTTGTAATTATATATACTTTGGGATATCTTTATTGGAATGAAGCCATTTATTTTTTCTTGAAATAGCATTTTTGAGGTCTAGTTTTGTTAAAATATGGCCAACTCTGAGAAAAGGACATAATTTGAGGCTTTCTGTTTTACTGGTTCCCTGCTCCAGATAAAAATCCCCAAGAAGCTGGAAACTTGTATTTCTCCTTCATATCCCAATGATCATACAGCCTTTTCTTTGCTGAACTCATTGCAGAAGAAAAGATAATGAGAAATGGCAAAACTGTGTGGAGAAGACTTGCACACAGACAGAAAGCTTATGTGGTCCTTTAGTGCTGAAATATTAGGATAATAAAGAAGGGCAAACAGGTGAGGGAGTGCTTTTTTCAAGGTCAGGTTGTGCAGAAGTGCATGGGGTGATGAAACTCTAAACCATTTAGTGCAGTATTTAGCAGAGGACAAAATGCAAAGAGATTCTGTGATGCATAAATAAATGTGTCAGTGAAGATGAAGTAAATCACATTAGCACTGAGTAAGGGCAGGTGAGAGCGCAGCGGCAGTGCCATCTGTACCATCAGTCAATACGCTAAGCATATAGAAGAAGTACTAGGGAGGTGAAGAGTAAGCAGAATGGAGACCAGGCTCTAATAGACCTTATTAATGTACCTGGGAGGCATGAAAGAAAGAGAAGTTTTTGGCAAATGTAGCAAAAAGAATTGGTACAGTGACTTCTGTTGTATCTGCAAATTTGCTACTCGTAAGAGTCTGTTAGTCCAGGCCAGAGGGAGATATCTTTGCACTATTCTGAACTCTGGAACTAGCTAGGAGAAACTGAAAAATGATCATACGTCTCTCTTCTTCTAAGGACAGTTAGAGACATCTGTTTAAGCACTGAACGGAAAATTATGATTTTCCCTCTTCCGTAATACTTTATTAAGATCAGCATGTGAGCCAGCTATTTAAGTGTTATAGATTCTTCTCCTTCACAATAATATTTTGTGTACATGTAAACATGTCATAGTACTTTTAAATATTCACTGGCTTAATTACATAGCACTCAGAGTCAATAAAAGAAGTACACACTACTTCATTTTTTAGTTATGAGTGTCTAAGAGACAGTGCCTAAGAAGAGAATAGATGAATTTTTCAGTATCAGCCAGTGCATCAGTGACAGAATTGAGCACATATTACTACTCAGTACCTGGAACATATTCTTGTGAGAACTTCAAGGAAAAGAATTAGACACCAGAGATTAGCTTGTATTTTTTGTTGAAATGAACAGCGAACTCTTCTTTGCATAAATATTCATGAATTTGCTACTTTTCCTTTTTTTTTGTGAGAGGCTATAAAAATCTATAACCACTCTTTATTTCTCCAGAGCAAAATATAGGTGAAAGGAAACATCTTTTTCTTTCCTTTTTTCCTGCCAAGATTTGGAATAACTATATCTACTATTAAAGCCATTGGCAATTCTATCTAATTCTAATTAAGAATTAGATATCTAATCTTCTCTCTAGATATCTTATCTTCTATCTAATTCTAATTAGATCTAAAAGTGAAATGCAATGTATATTGTGTCATGGTTGGCAGTAGTGTAAGAGAACAATGAGAACAGCTTTGTTTCTTGCTTGGCAGGACTGGAATGATCTCTGCAGCTTTTGTATTCTTGTGGTTTAACAGAGGGACATGCCAAACCTGTTTGCTGCTTATCCACACAAGTCCTGTGGCAATGCAAATCAGGACAGTGAGGTGGTTTTAGAGTCACTGCATAACTTCACGTTCAAGCCACGGAAGTCACCCGATCCCTCCGTATTGCAGAGGAGAAAAAGAACAAACAAACAAACAAACCCCCAAACGTCCTTTGCAGGTCTCGCTGCGATTACTTAACTATTTTCAGAAGTGCCTAAGTTGTCTAAATGTTTATTATGGATTGCACAGGTATGTTGCAGCTACTAGTGCAATGCTCAGATTTGTAATATATACTTTGGAGTTAAAAACATTCACCGTTACATGGAATTTATGCCCTGCAATCCTTTTTAGCATCAGCATCTAAAAAAAGGCAGCAGCAAGAAATACCCTCCAATGGGAAAAAAATGATCTGACCATTCTCAAGAAGCCTGAACAATGCTTTGTAACTGTTATGTTCTGGTTCTGAATTGGGTGATTTGCAGCTCTGGCAAATACTACCGGATGTGAAGGCTGGCTCCTGTGGATAGTCTCATGCTGTGTCCCTGACCAGTTGGAGTCTCACCTTTGGGACAGTTGGCTGAATTATTCCAGTGCTAGGTGCAAATTGTACAGCAGGACAGAGAAGAAGAGGTAATAGGATTCAAGCCACTAAGAACTTCTTAGTCTGTAACCAGCGCCTGGACTATAACTGGAAAGTTTACTGGCAGGACTGCAGAGCTTATTGTAGAGAACAGATTGTGTAGTTCAATAGCACTCTACTTTAGATTCCTCACAGAGCTATCAATAATTTATTAAAGGTAAACACAGTTATTGATTTGTCATTTTCTTACATAAACAATAAGAGCTGGAACACCAGGCATACAAGATAAGGGCCTTTTCCTGAAAAGACCAGTAATCACATGCATATCTGCTCTTTTTTGGGTTTATTTACCAAAAGCAAAGCAGCGTGATGCTGCAGAATATAGCTGCCTGAGACTGAGCTCAACTGAGATAAATAGGATTTTGGTGAAATTCACATTTTTTGCAAGTTCATTGCAAGTGACATTCCTGAAAGTGTCAGAAGTCACAATGAGTCAGAAAAAGTGAGCTGAGGGCAACAGTTTTGACCCATCAGGAATAGTTTCACTTTTAGAGAGTTTTTGCAAGATCGTTCTCAAAGTACTGTCCTCTCCTAGCATCAGGCGATGCATGATCTACAGCCAGTCATAAGCACTTGTCCTGGAAAACATCACATTATGTTGCCAGTGTTTGGTGAAAAGAGCTAAAATGTGAAGGAAGACTATGACTAACTTTGGGTCAAGGGAAAGATCAGAGAAATATCTGAGCTCTGCAAGTGAAACTGCATTAATCTATCGGAAGCGCATAGACATGCAATAGGAATCTTTTGGAAAAGGTGAGTGCGCCAATGTGTACACTGAAATGTATGAAAAGAACTAGGCACTTGATAGCATCTTCAGAAAGCTGTGTTTTGACATATTGCCAATGATTTCTGATCCCTGAGTTGCTTGGTTATACAAAATCCTTTAGAAGTTATCCTTTAGAAATAATCAGCTGATGAGCTGATAATGCAGGGTGTCTGTTGGATAATTTGTGTCCTCATTAGGCAGTGCATCTAGAGACCTTTTCCATTCCAAGTCTGTTAGGTTAGTATTTGTACTAATTAAGAATGACAGTTCTTGACTCCAGCACCATACATATCTGTTAGAAAAAAATTCAACAAGGCGTCGACTAGCTTACTACTTAGAAATGCCAAATGAAGTCATTAGACTTGTCAGTCAGTATGGCACCACTCTTCTGATTAGCAGCTTTCCTTTTTTGGATAGGAATCACCCTGCAATTCTGTGGCTTAAGGAGACTTAGTTGTAACCAGATGCTACTCCAACAGTTTCTGGTTAAAAAATAACTCACCTTAATTTAAGGACATCTAGGGAAAG